GGGGGCACCGAATTATACTATGGTAGTGTCGAATGATATGTGAAGGAGTAGGGTTGTATCAGGGTGGCACTGGATCTTTTCGTTGTAAGGGTGGCTCATACTGTAGCAGTGGTGGAGGGTTAGGCAGCTCCTCCTCTCTTCCCAGGCTTGCTGGGCAGAGATAAGTCTCTCCAGCATCTCGAAGAGTTGATCGAGATCCTCTCGAAGTGACTCATCCTTGACTGCTCTATTTAGTGGGAGTCTTCCTTTCATCATATTTTTGTACATGCATTTTATGAGAAAGGGTTGAATGTTGGGTTATATTTGAATAATTCAAATATTTGTGCAATGAATGGTTCCGGGGAACCTATCTTTGATACCAACTGTAAAAGCCCAAAACTTAAAAGAAATGAATATATATTGTAAATGCGATAGCAATTAAGAATTTACGGTTTACATTCCTTACACAATGAATCAGGATGCCCAATAGGGCTACGGGAATGTCCCTTCAAGGAAGTTTTCAATAACATAATAAATAAATAAATAAAATACAATTAAAAATCCTATGGAGTTAACCTTCACTTGAAAACTCTGATGAGATGCGGGAGCAGCTTTATTCGCAATATTCTTCTTGCTGTTCAGGATCTGGATCTTTATCTTTCTAATATGAAAATGATTAAATAGGGGGATGAGCTACATTAGACTAGTAAGAATATCACACTTAGCACCGATAAGGAAAACCAAAGATTGGAAAAAATTATAAACAACCAATGGAGCCATTATCTCTTTTTAAATAGATTTATTTAACATAAAAACTATTATTTTCATACTTACCCTTATGAGTTTCCAAAATTGACCTATGAAAATAATAATTATGATAATATTTTATTTCACATTTAAATAAATAATAATAGAAAACTTACCTTCTTACTAGTATCTTTGGGGGTCCATAGGGATTCCCCCTACGCATGTACCTAATATCTAATTTATCATTTAACCGGTCGTCTCATACCCCGTCCGGTAATAGGTGCTAAACATACTACCGTCTCAATACTCTGTCCAATATGAGGGTAAACTATACCTCTTAAACCCTTCCGGTATGGGAATTCTCAGCCCCGTTCAACTAAGCTAATGTTCACAGTAGGGTTAAAACCCTATGCACCGAGCCCGTATATCCTTTCACAAGGTACCCGATAAACCTTTCATACATATATCCATACCATTAATTAATCACCAATTACATACCAACATTTCATATTTACATATCAATAGTAACTTATGCAAATAGACAATACGAAAATCAAGAAAATGTGATTATGACATTTGCTTCGAATCAGTCGATAGTGAGAATAATAAGCCCACAT